AGGCTGCCTGTGCATTAGGCTTTTACTCTGGGTGCTTAAAATGTGCAGACTCAGGAAACACACACACACCACCTGCAGTGGCCAAGGCCAAATATATATCACTACAAGTTTCATCAAAATAAGAACGGGCAACTGTGAGTGATGTTATCAGCAAATTCATCTCTGTTCTGCAGCAAAAGAGAGATGGGAAAGGAGAGCAGAACCAACCGAAGCAGCAGGCATTGGCTCCTTGGTGAGACGTGCTGCTTCCACACATTAGGTGGCCATGACGTCACCAGTCTGAAGCTGGGTGCTACTTTGAATAAAAGGTCAAAGCACAAAAAGTCAAACAGGGCTTCTGGAGGACAACACAGAGTTTGAAGAAGTTGATGACAAAACATTATAAACAGAGGGGAAAAGGTGTTGAAGAGCGCCATGAAGAGGACTAAAAGTAGGCTGCACAAGGACTTTGTCGCCTGCATTTAGTGCATATTCTGGGGGAGTATTATGCAGAGAAGAGAATGTAGAGGAAAAATGCATAAAAGTAAGGAAGAACATTAATGTGCAGGGTGGGAGTGCATGTGCAGAGGGGTCTTCAGATTTTTTTCCATGTGCTGACCCTTTTCAGAACACCTGCTCCCATCAAAACCCTCTCATAGACACAATGAGAGAGGCAGTTAAATTTCTTCAAGCGGCCAAATCAATGCCTCTCTACTGTAATTTACACACACGTGAAATAGCTACTCAGAGATGCCTGGACAGAATTGTTACAGTCAATGTGGCACTGACACATCCTGTTTAATTATAGTAGATATCCAAACTGTAGAGGACAATGATATATTAGTTTTGTAAAGATGGCAAGATTATGCCCCCATTATTTTAGGAATCAAGACAAGTTTTGGCAGCACCTTGCTTTAAGACCCAAGTATAAAGGACACTGAGTGTGATTGTATGTAAGTTACAAAGTGTCTAAAAATGCACTGAAGTATTTATGAAATACTTTTTTTTTAAGAGGTTCATCTTTCTGATGATGCCTCTTATCAGCTCTCTAATAAAGATCACTTTAAGACATTGACATTTGCACACAGAGCAGAACAGGTTTTTTCACAGTATCTAATTATGTGACTCTGTGCTGAATAGGTTAAAGTTTATGAAGTCAAGACGAGCACGTGTGCTTAAAGCCTTTGTTTAATCAAAGGTTGTTTTTTTTTATCTTAGTTTTCAGAAGTGAAGTATTTTTGTGGTCTTTTCCCATTTTGTGATATTACTAGCTCTGTCTCAGGATGTTGTATGAATCTAATTACGGTTAAAATACACCAAAACCTTTTGTATCCTACACTCTATTAGGTTTTGGATTCACACCTGCGTGTGACTGTGCCAAGGTGATGCAGAGGTGCATTTTCTATTTCTAGAACTCGCCTTTAGGCTTGACACAAAGCTACAAAGTCTACTACAATGAGTCACTGATATTAATACTGCTTGCCCTGCAGATGGCCATTCAAAAGACCCGCTGGCAGTGAAACCACACTAGTAGAACTGATACTTTTAGTTATAGGTTGGTGTCAAGTACCGATATAGTTTCTTTTCAAGTAGTACTGACCATGATGATTTGAAAAGAGCGACTGTGTAAACGGGTGTAAAATAAAGTTCTGCAGTGACCTGTGGTAAAAACATGGAATAGCCAGCAGTTTACGCCAGATACTGTTTGGACTCATCTTCTGACTCAAACGGATCAAGCTGTAAACAAAAGTTTCAAATTGACATATATTGGTCAGGGGTAGAAAAAAAAAAATGTAAAACTAGGTCTGGAAAGAAGATTAAAGGAGAGCTTATGGCAATGTCTTGAATATTATAATATTTATAAGATTAAAGGAGAGCTCATGGCATTATCTTAAGGGCCATTACAAATCTGGGACCTCAACATTTTTGCAGTTTGACTTAAGAAGTTGGAGAGAAACTGCCTGGGTAAATAACTAAGTCTTGTTTTTGAAGCGAAATTAAAGACAACCCAATAAAAAAAATAAAATAAAAAAAAACAATGATGTCCAGGACTGGACTGAGGTGGGTATACAGTCACTTCTGGGATTGCTCAAGAGTTTTTAATATGACCATGAGCTCATTTTAGGAGTTTACTGAAATCAACCATTACAACTATCACCTCTGGCAGAAATGTAAATCCTAAGACTGAAATGACTGCTCAGAAGCAGCAGGAGGTTGAAATGTTGTCATAGTTTAAAAAAAAAATTGATCAAAAACATTTGGGAGCTCCCAGATACAATTAGATGTCACTCCCATCGATATCCTGTTCTGTGATGTGTTGAGTTTGATCATAAAATGTAACATCTTAGTTTATATATTTGAAGTAAAATGTTAAAAAACTTAACTACTACTACTACTACTACTACTACTACTACCATTAACAGTGAAATTACGATAATTAAGTGTCAAAACAGTCGACATACTGTAGTTGACAGGTTACTGTGTACTGTTTTATTTCTGATTACATAATTATAGCCATCATCGTAGAACATCTCTTTAATGAAACCAGGAGAATGAGCTATAACATTTAATTTCCCTCTGGGCTTGATAAAATATTTCTGAATTAAAGTGAATTGAATTAATGCCAAAAATCACAACATTGTTCTGAAAATTATCTAGCTTTAAGAAAAGATAAAATAATGCACATCAATTTACGCTGGCAAATGTACTAATTTATTCTGATTTTTAAATACACTTGGCTTATTTACTTCTACAATGCTAAAATTAAGAATATTATCCAATACAACTGTTGAACAAAATCATTGCATCACCATTTGGACAATAGCTTAACCATTTGTCAGGACTGTCGGTGTTAAAAAGCGATTTCTTGCAGAAGTGCTCCAACCTAAAGCCTCACAAAGTAAAATCTTTATTTAACCATACAAAGCTGTATAGATATTTCTCAAACGGTGCAAGTAATCTGTTCTCAACCATTTTAAAATACTTTAAACAAGCTGCTACAGGAAACTAGAACGTTTAAGCAGAGAGGTGGAAACAAGTGAAGTTAAAACAGTTATGGGAAGTGTTGTGAGGTGACATGTAATGGGTTGACTGGCGTCCACTGCTGCTTAAGGTTATAATGGAAAAATAACTGGGATGTCTGCGTAACTAGTTCTGTCTGCCACTGGTATGTTCTAGCCTAAAGGGCTATGGGAATTTAGGAGCTCCATCAAGGACATGCCTTCATGTGCTTTTCTTCTGGTATTTTTTGCCCTGCAGACATAAACTCTGCAGTGAAGAAACCACCAGCCAGTGCGTGGATAGTCTAACAAATAAAAAAATGTTGCCTAACTTGCATCTAATAAGCTAAAATTCTTGGCATTTATTGTGAATCCATTTGTTCTTTGTTCTTCATGTCTGGGAGGCTTAGTTTTCCATTGACTTAGACTTCTGGGCTGCCCCAAGACATTTTACTTAATATATCCATTTTTTTTGTGGTAAAGACTCTAAAAGAATGACCCTTTTCCAATATTTACAAGTTTGTATGTATTTTTTTATATATAGTTAAGTTCTTTTTTTTACATGTAGCTTCTTAATCAGTTGCATCATCTTAACCATTTGTCACAAAGAAAAGTCATTCTGACATCATGTTGCAGTTGATTTATTTCACAACAGAAAACCTCCTGCACTAAAGAGACTAAGACTTTATAAAAGCAGTTTTATTAACAACAATCGGTTACAACTCTTTTTGTGAAGAAATTCCCCAAAATGGAGAACATTCTTGGCAATAAATACAAGAATAGTGAAAGATTTCCTGGAGTCAAAAGGTACTTATAGTTGTACCAACTAAAAAAAAAAAAAACTACTCCAGAATAAAACAGTAAAATGTACTTTGTTCAATCTACTCTGTAGTCTCTTGTCACTGCATGAAAAAACAGAAATCTTTAGGATTGCAAAAAAAAAGTGAGAAGATTGTT